AAAGGACAGTTTTATTCATTATCATTATTATTGAGACAGGATCTCATTATGTATTCCAGGCTAGCCTTGAATTCATTATGTACCCCATGCTGGCTCTAAACTCAGGCACTTCTCCTGCCCCAACTTGTCAAGTGCTGGAATTACAGGCATACACCACCATGTCCAATTTTTTGTTTGTTTTTGAGACAAGGACTATTCTGTCAGGCTGGCCTTAGATTCATGATGTAGCCCAGACTGGCTTCAAACTTACAGTGATCCTCTTCCCTGGGGTTCCAGGCCTGCCTGCAATAGGACAGTACTTCTTAACATGGTGTAAAGGGGTTCAAAAGATATAGTTTCTTTCTCTTTCTTTTTTTTTTTTTTTTTTTTTAACCTGGAATTGAACCCAGGGCCTTGTGCTCCCCAGGCAAGTGCTCATATCACTGAGCTATCTCCCTGGCCCTATAATTTCATCAGATTTTCAAAGAAATATGTATTCCCCCAAAAGGTGAAAAATCCATTGCTTTAGGGCTTCTGTTTTCTTCAGACACAAAGCAGGAGCCACAGCTGTACCCCTGTACCTACCTTCTATCAGTCTCTATGGGCTACTTTACACAGAGCCTGTGCAGCAATTAGGGAAACTGGGGGTGACAATAGCCTTGCAGGAAGGACAATGCATCCAGGTTTCATGAGCTTGCAGGTGACAATAGCCTTGCAGGAAGGACAATGCATCCAGGTTTCATGAGCTTGCAGGATTTGAAGTTTTTATTTGTCCTGGGATATTAGAGCCCAGTAGACTGGGGCTATGAGGCTCTGCTCTCTCCTCAGCCTGCCCTGATGGCCCATGGGGGTAGAGAAATGTTCTGCCAGGGTTGAGAGACTCTGCCAAAGACATTCTCCATAGGAATGAGAGGTTGTTGCTCCTCCACTGGGCCAGCTGGAAGGTGACCTGGGAGGTTGCAGCCATGCTCCCTGCTCCTTCAGTCACTTCCATCCCAGACCCCAGAGCTGGAGTAAAGAGGAGATATCCAGGAAATATTTGAGCCCTGAGTCAGGTCAGTTCAGCAACAGCATAGCTGTAGGGCACTGAGTGAGGGTGGGGCTATATTAGTAAGATCTGACTGGATGAGGGCAAGCTGGGGAAAGATACAAACTCCAGCATCTCTTTAACAGAAGTTGTCATGTAGAGACAGCTGTCTTCTGCTAAGTCCTATCTCACAAACACATCTGCAACTCTACTGGGGCCTCAGACCCTCTTCCCATCGGTCAGGTGCCTCCCCCAACATCTCCATTCCCCAACTCCCTGAGCCTCTCCTCCCAATCTGTGACTCCCCTGAACTAGACAGCTGGGTACTGGGTAGAGATTAGGAGGAGGTCTACTTCCCCAAGATGAAGAATTCTAGCTGCAGACGCAAGTCACCAGCATGGGCTCCAGCCCCTTGAGCCCTAGCGCTGCACACTTACCGGCTGCTCAGCTGGTGGTCAGCTCTCCTTGGGGTCCAGCAGCCTTGGAGGACTGAGCTGCTGTGACCGAAGAACCTGAGCTGGGCAGGCGTGGGGGTAGCACTGGCAGTGGGGGAGGGAGTGTGGTTATTAATAGAGATGATGAGCACAAGCAGCTCAAATGGCAAAGGGGGTACTGAGACCCTGGAACGGAGACCCCGCCCTCCTTGCCTAGAGGCTCAGAAAGGCCTTTAGGATTCTCCCACTAAGCTGTCTGAGCCAGGGATCAGCCTTTTCCCGGGGTCTCCTTCCCCATGCACCTACAGTCTGAGACCTAAAGATGCATTCAAAGAGAAAATGAAGATACAGGAAGAAAGGAAGCAGGCAGCAAGTGGTGTAGGAATTCAGAGTGGGAGAAGTCAGAGAACATGACCTGAGGATCACTCATAGCCAATCTGGGCTGGAGCTGGGGGGACTTGTGGGTGTATTTGGGAATGGGAGGGATTAAGGCTTTAAATTTAAGGACGGGATGGAAGTCTTCACAATGGAGCTGCTCTTTTATTTTATTTATTTTTGGCAGAACCGGGGATTGAACTCAGGCCCTTGCACTTGCCAGGGAAGCGTTTATTTTATTCTACTGATGGAGTTGCTCTTTTAAAGTCCCTGATGGATTGCTCTCTCTGGGAGGAACAGATCTTGGCAGAATAAAGGACAAAGGAACAAGCCTAATGTGATGAAAGATGCTGTCAGGGAAGACTTGACCAATTCTTCCACCTGCCTTTTCTTTCCTGGTCTACTCTGGCAGTTCTAAGAACAGGCAAACCTGTAGATCAGCCTTTTAGTCCCCTTCAGGTGCTCAGTTTGGCCTGCTTTGTAGGACTGATGTTGCTATCTCCCTGAGAAGCTCACATTGGCTTCTGACCCACCAGGGCCTTGCCTTCCAGGGTTGCTTGTTAGAATTCCCTTCAACCGGCGCACACACCCATAGAATCTGCCTTATTCTATTTACGTTGTTCCAAAGGAGCCTCTGGAAGCCAGGCATCATGGCACACTTGTAATTCCAGCACTAAGGAGCCTGAGGCAGGAGAATCACTGCAAACCTGAGGTCAACCTGGGCGACCTACGATTCCATACAGAGACCCTATCTCAAAAAATTTTATAAGGACTTATAGGATAAATAAATGACTGGGGCTGGGCAGATAGGTCAGCGATTAAGCACCTGCCTGGAAAGCACAAGGACCCAAGTTCAATCCCCAATACTGCATGCTGTGTGGGCCCCAAAACCGGGCGTGGTGGCAGATGCACACCTGTAATCTCAGCACTTGAGAGGCTGAGACAGGAAGATCACTATGAGTCTGAACTGCGTAGCGAGACCCTGTATCAAATAAATAAAATAAGACTCTGATAAAATGGCGGCCCCAGGAAGTGGCACGAGCTAGAGAGCCCTTTAGAAGGAAGCTTATTATTTGCCCAGCCCCCTCCTCAGCAGCTGCAGGAACATCCTGCTTCCTCCTCCACCTTCTGTGCAAGCTGATTCTGCTGCTGCGCCTCTGCTACCGGCCTTCAAAGTGGCTTGGTGCAGCTGCCTCCGAAGCGGCTCCTGAAGCTTCCCAAATACTTCCCCCTAGCTCTCACCACTCTTCCCGATCATGCCCTTCTTCCATAACTTTTCAGGCTCAGGCAAGGGGTTGAAAATCCATCACCACCGCTGTTGCAAACAAAACAGAAACGAAAAGCTCAAAGTGACTTCCTATTGCTCAGTAATTACTGAGTGGGTGAAGACAGGCTATTTTAGCCTGCGGTCTCTGGGCCCTTCCTTTGGGATTCTAGTATGGTGGACTTGGGAGCTGCAGGTTATTGGCACAAGTCTGCCCTCTGCTGACAAAATTGATGCAATGGCGCGTTCCTGCTCAAAGCCAATCCTAGCTGGACTATCCAAATACTCTACCTCCCTTTTCTTTCCTCTTCAACTCTGCAGGTCTAAGAACAACAGGTAAATGTTTAGATTCCATTTTGCTACTTGGATGCAGACACAAGTCACAAGTTCTCTACTACTTTCAATCTTTCCTTTTTTTTTTTCTCATTGTTTTGCTTTCCATTTTCTTTTTTTTAATTTAGTAAGGAAGGGTCTCACTATATAGTGTAGAGGCAAACCTTGAACTTTCTGTGTAGCTCAGGATGGCCTCAAATTTCAGATCTTTCGGTCTCAACCTCCTTAAATTCTGGGATTATAGACATGTGCCACCAAGCCTGGCTTCCACCTTTTATTCCCTTGCCTATTTCACCATCACCTCCAATTGTTGCTTTCTATTTAATTTTCAGAGAATGTTTAACATGGTTGCTTCCTCCAGAGCGCTAGAAAGTGCTGGTGGCAAAGGAAGTGGAGGGCCTTTTAACTTCTCCCAGTTCTGTAAACTGAGCCTTCCCTGGAAAGTGCATAACAGTGAAGGGAGAGGGGGAGAGTCTGGATGGAGGCTGCAGGGAGACAAAACCAGGAGTGGTAGAGATAGCTAAATTGAAGCAGGATGGAATTGATAGAAAACAGTGGGCAGGAGATGTGGTTCAGTGGTATAGTGCTTGCCTACCATGCTCAAGGCCGAGTTCAATCCCCAGTACCACCAAAAACACCAAAATAAGACCAGGTCCCAGAACTCAGTAGGCCGAGGCAGGAGGATCATCACAAATTCAAGACTAGCCTGAACTACAAACTAAGCTCAAGGCTAGATTGAAATGGATAGTGAAACCCAGTCTCAAAAAGACAAAAGTAAAAGAAAACAGTAAAATAGCTGGGAAGGGCAAAGCATAGAAAATGGGAAGGTGGGAATGGAGACTGTGATGGAGACTGAGATCAGGGTAATGAATTAGAGAAGATCATGGAGAGATCAAGAGTAGGTACAAAACCAGAAGACATGACAGCAACAAAAGGTATGGGACATAAGTTTATTTCTGTGCACAAACCAAAGAGCTGTGACTCACACCCAAAATGCAAAGGAAACGATCACTTTCTAGATCAAACAGCAAACACGGCTGGTGATGGTCTTGGTGTGAAGAGAGTCCACGCCTTCCTAGAATTCTAAAAGAGCACTTGAAGCTAAAGAGGAACAAGAGCTAGGGTTTTGAAGAATGGGGTAGAACTGGAAAAGGCTTTGGCTGCAGGTGCCTCCCTGCCCTTTCCCAGGTAGCCAGGACAAAGTAGACAAGGGTGGGCTCACAGGAAGTAGCACAGACACGAGCCCTTCTCTCAGCACTCAGCACACCCTCCTGCTCCCTCCTCCTGTCAGGTCCCTTAAGTCTGGCAAATGGATTCTTGTACCTCCTAGTTTTTCCCAGTTTCCCTCTCACACACTTGATTGTTAGCCAAGTTCACTCTGCCAACAGTGCCCTCTCCCTCACCATTCTCCATCAAGTTCACCCATTTCTGCTCCATCCCTGCTTTCTCACTCACCTCACCCTGGCTTTCTTCCCCTTCTTTCTTTCTTTCTCTCCCCCCCCCCCCCACGGAACCTGGGATTGAACTCAGGCCCTTAGTGCTTATTCTACTAAGCCATCTCCCCGGCCCTCCCCTTTTCTGTTTTAGGCTCATAAAACAATGAAGCCAATAATTTATTAATTCCCGAAGGAAATTTTCTTTTTCTTTTCTTCTTTTTGTTTCTGATATCTTTGAGAGATTGGGCTGCTCAGCACAGAGCTCTATTTGTTAACTTTCTGAAATCTAGAGGATTTGAATAATTCTTAGTTCTCTTGCTGGTATAGCTGGTATAATTCACCCCAGTCCCAGTCCTTCAGTCTTGTCACGCAACACTAGTTCCCAAGATCCTGCATATCTGATAGACACTGCTCTCTGACAAGCTGTTCTCCAGGGAAGCCTGTTCTCCCACTAGACTCCATGTGGGGATACCTGACCCTTCTACCAGTGTAAAGTTGAGACCCAGCATTGAGACCCTTTATACCCCTATTACTCTTGCTTCAGTCAGAGAAGGGTATCTTTCAGATCAGATCCTCATCATACACACTTGCTCATACTTGCACTCACACACACACCCTAGGCATACACACCCTGGAAATATGCCTGCAGAGTGAAGAGTAGGGAGAGGGTTAGGGCAAACAAGAATCAGCTCAGCCTCCCTTTGCTGTCTTCCTGGTGGTGAGCTTACAGCCTAAGTTCCCAGTGGTTACCTCTACTCTGTATGCTTCTCACCGAAGGCCCACAGAGAAAGGGCACAAATGTAAAGAGGCTTATAGAGGCATACAGGTAGAGGGAGGCCAGGAAATGTAGACAGATCCAGGCAAGAGAATATAAAGAGAAACAAAGATACCAAAGTAGGGACAGTAGGTTGGAAAGCAGCAGGGAGGTAGAGAGTGAGCAGGAAGCTGAGAGGTGAGACACTAATTTCAAACCTATCTCTGGCAGGAGGAACTTTAGCCTCCCGGCGCCTGAAAGAGAAGGGATAGGGAAGCAGAGGGACAGAATAGGACAGAAGCAGCACAGGAGACTGGATGTCCCATTTCTCCTTGGTCCTGGGACCCATTCTCCACTCACCGGTGCCCTGCCCCAGGCCTCCACACATGAGCCTGCAATCCTGTTCTGGTGGCTGAGAATCGTGGCCTGGCTACCTGGAAACCACAGGAGCTAGGTGTGGCCCCAAAGCCTCTGGGAGACTCTTGAGGAGAGGTCGGGCTTAAAACTGGGGCCGGGGCCAGCTCTGCCCTCCAGATGGGTTCATCCAGTGAGGTGGCTGCTCGGGGCGCAAGTACAGTGGGAGCCAGGAGCTCTGTAGTGGGCTGGGGCGCCGGAGTGGAAAATCGGCGGATCTCCTGGACTCGGGCAGTTTTGGGGGCCCCCGAGGAGGTGGGGTCAGGAGTTGGAGGAATCTCATCAAAACAGAACATGGCGGTTTTAAGTTGATAGGGTTGATGCCGCATGAAATCCAGGGCCTTGATGCCCTGCTTGGGGGCTGCCCGAGGCCCCTGGGTTTGGGCCTTGGTAGGGACAGTTCGGGCAGCCTGGGGGAAAAAAGGTGAGAGTAGTGGGTTGTAAGCAATTGGAGGTGGGGCACGGATGTTGGGCGAATACTTCCAAGAAGGGGGTAGTGAGGGGGTAGGAGAAGGACTTCTGGGCCGAAAGCCAGGACCTGGTGTAGTTTCTACCACATACCTGTCGGCACGGCTCTGCCGCTTGGCAAACAGCTCACCACCCCTGCCCTGCAGCCTTGGTGGCTCAGAGATTCCAGGCGAGGGGGTCGCCCCATTAACTATCCCATCTAACAGCCCTCGGGATGCTGGTTTAGGAGCCACTGGGGGTGGAGTCTTAGGAGTCATGGGGGGCGGGGTCTTGGGAGCCATTGGAGGCGGGGTTTTAGGTGTCACGTGAGGCAGTGTCTTGTAACTCCTGCCCCCTGGTGGCTGCATGAAATTGCAAGCTTCGGCTCCGAGGCTCAAAGCGTCCTCCTCAGGACCAGATTCAGCAACCCCGGCCCGGGGTTTTTCATCCAGGTTCTGCACTAGTGACAACAGTTCGGGGTTGGGCGAGTTCTTCGGCTCCTCCTTCCCCTGGCGGAACATCTGCTTCCTGGTCCCGCGGCGCCGGGCCTCCTGCAGGATGCCAGTGCGCGCAGCCGGCACGGAGATGCGCTGCTCACGAGCGCTGGCGGGGTCGCGGGCCGCGGGGCCCGGCGCGGGTGCCTCCGGGCGCACAGAGGGCCGCAGGGGTGACGAGAGAAAGATTGAAGCGGTGGAGGTCATGGCAGCTGCGCTAGGAGGCGCGGAGGGCTCTGGGGCTCCGCCCGGTGTAACGGGTCGACTAGGGGCTGGGATGTACAGGGAACTGGTGGCCGTCACAGAGCCCGAGGACCGTGGGTTGCTGGGGGAGCCAGGGGAGGGCAGGTGGCTGGAAACCCCTGTAGTGAAGCTCTGCAGAGGCGTAGACTCTTGCGGAGAGGGCTGGAAGGGGGATGGGGCGGGACCGAAGCTCCCCAGACTCTCATTCGCCCTCTTGGGGGCGAGAGGTCTGAAAATCACCGAGGTGGTACCTGGTCGCTGCCCTTGTAAACCCGGTGTAAAGGGCCTAGCTGACCTGTTGAAGATGCTTGGAGCTGGGGAAGGGGCTCCACCACTTGGGAGGGAGGTTCTGGGGCTGGCTACAGGGGCCGGCAAAGGGCTGGGTGGGAGCACAGCCGCCTCCGGGGGAGCACTCTGGGCCCGGGGTGGTGACTGTAGACCCTGACCATTGAGCACAGATTCTTGGCCCAGAGGAGCCGACTCCAGGGTGCTGGAGGCTGCGCGCTGGCGCTGCTGTTCAAAGAGTTGGACCCCTCTCCCAGAGACTTCGCTCAGCTGCCCGCCCTGGCCCTCGGCTGTGCCTGAGCCCACCCTGGCCAGCTCCATGTCCAGATAGGGGCTGTCCCAGTCAGACTGATTGGTGAGACTGCGCGCGTCGGAGAAGGCCTCTTCGTCCAACTCGGACTCACTCGTTGGGGGAACACCGTCCTCCTCTTCGGTGCCTGTCCCGGCTGCAGCCCCGAAGCTCACTAGAGTGTACTTCTTAGCTCTCTGCCTCCGTTTCTTAAACATAAGCACCCCCTTGGAGTGGGGGTTGGGAGCCGCAGTCAGCAGGGATGCGATAGTCCTGCATTTGGTCTTTGCTTCCTTCACACTTTTTTCTTGGAGGCTCTCTGCACGTTGCAATTCTGAGGAGGCAAAAAAATAGATTGGTCAGTGGGGCTTTGCAGCCTCTTCTAAATCTGTTCCCCGAAGCTTTCATCTCCACCCAGACCAACCCCCACCCCATCATTTCACAGGTAGAACCCACAGTGTACCCTGCCTGTGGGATATTCTGCCTGTGAGATGTTTCCTGATCTGAAGGCTGGCTGGAGGGTGAAAGGTGAAACCAAGGTCAGTTAGAGGAAAGGCAGAGACCACTTGGCTGACCTGACACTGCTTTGACAATTCTACCCTCCCTTGCCTCTATTCTGTTCTGGTCTTTCTAGAAATATGGCCTTACCTGCGACCGCATGCCCCCTGCTCCCCAGAATTCTTTACCGCTTCCCACACCTGACTGGCTACAGGAGGGAGATGTCACTCTCCACAAAAGGCAAGGAAATTGGGGAGGGAAACCAGAGAGAGAAAAGAAGTGACACCTTTTTTTTTTACACTTTCCTACCATAGAGAACCAGTTAGGCTTTTCACACAGTTTGGGATTTATCCATTCTTCCTGCCTGTCACCCCGAAGACGAAGACACACAGGATTCTTGTCAGGTGGTGCTTAAGCCACTGAGCCATCTCCCCAACCCTAACACACGGGATTCTTAACAATGAAGCTCTTCATTCATAATTCCACCCCCATCATGTAGTCCACATCAGAAACATAGCAATAACTTGTCAACAGGAATATCTGCCTACTACTGAAAGCTAACTGTGGGCATACTTTCTCCAATGACTTTTCTTTCTCATTAATGTATATCCTAGTTAGGCCTAGTGGCAAACATCTGTAATTCCATCACTTGGGAGACTGAGGCCAACTTGGGCTACCTAGTGAGTTCAAGACCCATCTATAATCCAAACTGAAACTCTGTCTCAAGCAAACAAGCAATGTATATCTTGGCTGGGCTCAGTGGTGCCTGCCCATAATTCCAGCATGAGCTCAAGGCCAGCTTGAGCTACATAGCAAGACCTTATCTGAAAAAATTTAGTTACTACCTCAACTCACATACACTTTAGTTCACATACACGTACTTAAATATATATGTGCATATATGAAAACATGGAGTCATTCCCATGCATATACATACATGCTCCAGATGGCTTTTTTTTCCCTCGGGTTCCCACACACAGATCCTGTTACTATCAGTTTGGTCAGAATTTTAGAGTTGTTCTTGGCCCTCCAACTGCTAGGGCACCCCTCTGTGCTTCACGGTTCTGTTACTCACAGCTGGGGTTAATCTCAGATCCAAGATGTGGGAAAAGTCAGGGTGCTGCTCTCCAAGACCACCCTCCAAATCTTCAGGACGCTTCAAAGTAGTCTCCTGTCCCCCAAGAGGAGGATAGGTTCCTTTGGGGGTTAGCGCTGCTGCCCCTGCTGTCTGCAAAGCCTTTTGGGGCAAGAGCTCAGGCAGCACCACTAGAGCGGTGTGCAAGGACTCTGTGCTGAAGAGAACCGAGGCAGGGTTTCCCAGGCTTGTAGAGCAGGGGTAGGTGGGGCCAGGAAATGGGAGAGGCCACACTGCTGTTAAGACCCCGCCTTAGACATAGATAATCTCTGGTCCCCAGTCCCCAGTTCCTCCTGAAAAATTCCTGAAATTCCATATACTTGCCACTTGAGATACCAAGCTCCTTTCTATTTAGGGCTCATTCCTCTCATCCCAACTCCGATAACTTAGAATCTTTCTGTAGATGAGAGAATAGGCTCAGAATCAGAGTTCAGTTCAGGTTTTTGTTCTTGGGAGAGTTACTTCACTTCATTGAAGTTCAGTTTCCTCATCTGTAAATGAGGATGCTAACATTGACCTCAAAAGGTTGCTATGAGGCTTATGTGAGCTAATATAAATAAATTTAGCACTTAACACAACACTAAGGTCCACTGTGAGCAACTATTACTCGCAAAGCTTTCTACATATATAGTGACCCTAGCTATACACATATACAGACAATTCTTATTCACACATATCTCCTCCCAGACTTCACATGCCTGCCTTCATGTATTCATAATGTACACCCACCTCTCTTTCACACATACTCTTCCTATGAGTTTTCTATAGCTCATGTGGTCACAAACAATGGCCATAGCATCAAGCCATTTTGAAAAAGAGTCAGTGATGCTCTTCTGAGAAAAGGAAAAAGAGGATAGCAAAAAGACAGGAAAGAATGACCTTCCCCAACATCTACCCTTCCTCAGTGACTATGGTATTATCCTCGATTCTAAACTTTTTCATTCTATACCCCAAAACTCTCTTGAATATGGGAAAGTAGTACCTGCATAGAATGGGTCTTGGGGTTCAGGATCTGGATCTGAGGCTTTGTCACAGCTGGCTTGGCTGAGGGGCTCTTGGCTGAGGGGCTCAAAGACCTCCATGCTGAGGAAGGCACTGTTGGCTGGAGCAGGACCAGCTTGAGCCACCCCCCCCCCCATGCCTTTTAAAGCCCCTTTGTCTTGTCCCCAGAGCTGGCAGCTGAATGAGCTCACTGAGCTATTTTTGGAGCCTGACCCCCCTCCCTGCTCTCGGCTGTCCCACAAGTCCTAGTATGACGGACGTGGGCACCTGCCTCCCCTGCCCCCTCCGCTGTCCCACTGGACAATGAGGTCTACTTTGGCTAAAAATACCTGTGAGCCATTAACCACAGTCTCATCCATCGTGATGAGAAGGGAGAAGAGGGGATAAGAGATGAGAACTGGGTGCCTTCTTGGTAAACGTGAGGTCTTGAGTTTGATTCTCAATAACCCTCAAAAAAAGAAAAACTAAACAAACAAACAAAAAACAAGGGGAGAGCCGGGGAGATGGCTCAATAGAATAAGCGCTTCCCTGGCAAGCGCAAGGGCCTGAGTTCAATCCCCGGTTCCGGAAAAAAAAAAAAAAAATCATTTAAAAAACAAGGGGAACTGTGGATAAGTATGGGATTCTGGGTATGTTTCTGGAATTTCTTTGTGTGATGTTGGACATATTCAGGGATGTCAGACTCTAAACTGCCATGTCCTTAACCTCTGTTCAGACTTAGAGACAAAACTGTATGGATTATCAAAATGATGGAAGAGAAGAGAGAAAGATGAAAACTAAGGGGAATCAGGTTATTTCAGAGGTGACAAAAAAGGTTGTGGGTGGGGCCTGGAAGAAACAGGCTAGGGAAACACTTCATTCTTAGATCTGGTTCTATAGCTCACATCAAAAATAGCAAAGAGCTTGAGATAAGTGGAACTGGCTTTTTCTGCCCAGGCCTACATTCTTGCCTGAGATAAGGAGCCAAAGATCCCTCCCCCTGCCACTTCCTAGGGATCTCATAACCATCCCATAACTTCTCTGTCTCCAGGAATCCCAACCAAACTTACACGTGCTTGTAAGCTTTGAGTTGTAAGTTCGTAAGTTCAGGTAATAGCTCTGAAACCATGCCTTTAGTTAACACTGTAAAGAGCCCCTCAACCCCTGTCCTGTTTCCAAATACTCCTATGCCCTGGGCCTGTCCTCTACTCTCATGCCATCCTGTCATTTAACAAAACAACTACAACCACCACCAAACTTTTCATCTATTCCAGTCCTTTTCCAACTTCCCCACTTACTCTGTTCTTGGGTTGAATCAAACCCCTTGAACCTTTTTGCTACACTGGTTCAAATAGTAAAGATAATCGAGACCATGAGAATAATTATTTTCTCTTTCATTTATGTCTGTCCTCTACCTGTTTCAAAGACTATATCCAAAAAGCATAAAGTAGGTAGAAATTATAGATAAGAAAATGAGATTTAGGGTTTAGATCCTGGCTAGGGGAAAAAAAAAAAAAAAAAAAAAAAAGCATTCAGGACTCACTGGCTTGCTTGGCCTTCTGGGCGTAGGTAGTAGTAAGATCTTCTGCCACTGGGTGGGGAACAGGTCCCACCATAGGGATAAGATGAGGGCCAGGCCGGAGTGGACCATGGGGTAACAGCAGTGCCTCGGCTGGGGGTGGCTGAAGGGCTGCCCCTTCCTCCCATGATGGGGAGCTCACACGGCTGTCAGCCTGGCTGGGAGGACCAGGGATGGCAGGTGCTGGCTCTGCAGGGCTGTCAGACAGGTAGACCTCATCCGGTGGGGCTCCTGGAGGTGTGGGCCTTGTAGGGCCTCGCCGGCGGGGTCGGCGGGGCTTCTCCTGCGTGGCAGGGCCATCAACATCACTGTCTGTCTCTCCATAATAAGCCTCACTGTCAGGGGGTGATAGAAGGCTCCCAGGCTGAAGGGACTGTGATACTGGAGCACCAGGGGGCTCTGGACTCAGTGGAGATAAGGGTGACAGTGTCTGAAATTCCCTAGGAGATGGAGATCTCACAGGCCCTTCATCTGCAATCCTGGATGGGAAAAAGGACAAAACTTGAGAGATGGCTATGTGACCAACAGCTAGAGAACTCTGGAGGGGGTGAGGAAGGAGGTAAAGGGGAAAGCAGGGACAGGACCATGGTTAGAGTGGATCATCTCCCAGTGTGCTTGGAAGGCTAGGAGGAAGATGAGGAGATAGGCCAGAGGTCTAAGTAGACCGATTGCTGAATCACCCACTCAATACCCCAACCTTTAAGTGCATACATGTTCAAACCTTTTGGGATACATACACAAACATCTGCACCCCAGCAAAAATACTCAAGAATGAAAAGGTAATTGTTAGTTGCTGAAGCTAGATCAGTGAGACCTAGAGCTGAGGCAGGCAAAGGGGAACCATAGGAGCCTTGTGCTAGGGGAAAAAGAGGGGAGGGTCCATACCGGCGCACACTGAGGACAAGCTGAGTCCCTGAGGCATCGATGAGACTCATGGCACTGGCGTGTGAGAGGCTGGTACAAGAAACCCCATTGATCGCCAAGAGCTGGTCCCTCTCTCGGAGTCCTGCTCTGCCAGCCTGGCTCCTTCTTCGGATCTGAGGTGTTGGAGGACAGACTGTAGGTGATGGAGGACTCCAATGGGAATAGCATGAAAAGGAAAGGACAGTACCCATGTAGGATAAAAGAGTAGAGGTACCCGGGGCTGCAGCTGAGGGGTCCTGTCTAGATTGGCAGGAGTAATATACATGTCATGGTAACCACTGAGTGGAGGAGGCTTGGAGGAAACCACATGGAGGAGGTACTAGACATGACAGTACATCCCCAAGATTTTCCTCCAAGAGCAATATCCCTACTAGCCAGCAGTTCCTTTCCAGGCATGGAATACAGGTGCTATTACAAGTTAAGACTTTAGCACAGTATTCCAAACCAAGTCAGTCCAGCCAGATTCGGGGAGAATATGATGTAGAGCTACGCAGGTGTGCACCATGTACACATATGGCTACCATTGATTGAGTTCTTAGTGTTAGGCACTATGCTACAAGTATTAGTGCGTTTCTTAGGATGGTTCTATGAAATAGGTCGGGTTCTTTTTGGCGGAACCAGGGATTGAACTCAGACCCTTGCACTTGCTAGGGAAGTGCTTATTCCACTGAGCCATCTCCCCAGCCCCTGAAGTAGGTACTATTATTGTCCACATTTTACAGTTCAGAAAACTAAGACTGCAGAATGAAACCAAAAGGGTAATGACTTCATCTGAGAGACCAGAACTTGCTATAATCCTCCTAGCACCTAAAAACAGTCTTGCTTAGTGAAAAAAAGGATCTGACTTAGGAAAGAGGAGCACTGAAGGATGAGCAGGGAAGGGCAGGGCAGGGCAGGGCAGAGGAGGGCAGGGCAGGGCAGGGCAGGGCAGGGGAGGGAAGGGCTGGCCTAGGCAAGACAGTTTTAGCTCCCCACATATCAGTTTAGCGAGAGAGAAATGAGAACCTTCCCTACATTCCTGGAGTTTGGTGCAGAGGCACACACACATCGGAGAGCAAACCCTAACTGCCCAGATTCCAGCCTTTGCTGGCATCGTGCTGCAGGAACCTGAAGGTCCCTTTTTCTCTGACCCATGGAAGCCAGGAACTCCCTTTTCTAGTAACCCCCAGAATAAGCCTGAGGTCAGAGACCACTCCCCATACCAGAGTTGAGCATGCATCCCTGCCCACCTGCCCCAGCCCCCACCTCCTCCTCTTCACAGCCCCCCACTACCGTCCTTCCCTTCATCCTAGGTTCCCCTTTCCCTGAAACTTCATTTCAGGGCCTTTTTCCCTTACCTTGGACACCTGTAAGGGTTTCCTCTGTTCAGCCCCCCCTTGAAGTCGGAAACCCCAGGGGGCTCCCCCTGATAGTGTGACCAGGACTTCCTCCTCAGCACCCATCGTTCAGCTTGGCTTATGGCCTTTGGAGTTTGGACAGTATCCCAGGGAGAAAAGTTGAGGTGCTGGTACCCCGTTCAGCCTGCCTGCTTGTCCGGCTGTCCTACTCCTGCTGCCCAAGTACCCCCCCCATACACCACAGGCAAGCAACTTGGCCATGGAATACTTACAGTCCAGCACACATGTCCCATCAATCTGCTCAAAATAGTTGTCGGGTGTACTCAATCTCCCTCCCCCAGCTGTGTTACTCCTAGAGCTAATTATAGCACAGACTTCTGCCCTCCACCCCCCACTACCACCACCATGGGCCTTTTACTGAGGATTCAACTCATGCATACCCTTTCAGGAGCTGTGCCTTGTATGACAGGATCATGGGTTAATCTCAACTGCTTTCCCCCAAAGCTTACTTCAAAGTGACAGCTGTACCAGCAAAGGTTTCAATCCCAGCACTGGCAAGAAATGGTTGGGTTTATTCCACAAGCTCCCAGGAAAAGTACCCTTTTGCTGTATAATTTTGTTACCAAGCCAGGATCTTTTTGCCCACTCACTGATACATGGTTTTGCAAAAGACCAAGTTTATCCATTGAGCCAGCCAAGCATGAATACCTCTCCAAAGGTAGGTTTCAGGGATATTACGATTTTTTTTATGTATTTGGTACAGTGTCTCACTATGCAGCTCCAATTCATAGTGATCCTCCTGTTTTCAGCCTCCCTAAGTGCTGGGATTACAGGCATGTGCCACCACACTGAGACCTGGTTGCCATCTCAGTGAGCCAGGGGGTGGGGCCAGCAGAGCATGTGGTGCCAGGGGACACACCCTGGTCCCTGTGCTTGCCTAAGCAGACTCTTAGTCCACTGAGCTATCTCATCAGCCCAATATTTATGATTTTAAGAAGCAGAGTATATCTGAGCATAGTGTCACACACCTGTAGTCCCAGACACCTGAAAGACTGAGGCAGGAGAATTGCAAATTCAAGGCCATGCTGAGTAATTCAGTGAAACCCTGTCTCAAAATAAAAAAATTTAAAAAAGGATTGTGAATGTAGATTAATGGTAAAGTACTTAGGCAGCATGCATGAGGTTGTAGGTTCTGTTGCCAGGACTGAGGGGGAAAAAGCAGAGAGCACAAGAGGAAGTAATCAATAGTCTTCACATGTGTAATCAATGTTCATAGCTCTCTCTCTCTCTCTCTCTCTCTCTCTCTCTCTCTCTCTCTCTGTCTATCTCTCTGTCTGTCTGTCTCTCTCTGTGTCTCTGT